ATCTCTGCTAGCCATTGGTCATCTACATAGAATCTTGAGCAAACCCAGATACCCTGGCTTTGATTGTCTTGTGAGAGGAAAAAAAAAGAGATGGCACTTAAGGATCGTTATAAATACTTTCTGACTTGAGAACTCTATGCTTGGGAGACAGTTGGACAGGGTGTGTGGGATGGCCAAAAGGCTGAGAAAGGGCATAGAAAACATGTCCAGTATCACATCACAGGTAAAGCCTTTTCCGTCACGCTACCCGGCCCTGGGTCCCAATAAAAGCCTCTGAAAGTTTTCTCCTGAGAATATTAAAGTTCTCAAGGACAGCTCTTTCAGTCTCAGAAAAGGGGAATCTAACCTGTAAAAACACAAATCAGTCTCTATATGCCGAAGAAGTCAAATGGCAGCTATTTGGTCACGGGAAGGGAAATCTCCGTCGCGTGAAGACTCCCGAATAACTAAACAGAGGACCCTTTCTTTAGCTGTCGTGAAGACTTCTGTATGTTTGTTCAAAATAGTCAAGCCAAGAGCTTCTGGAAAAATCATGGCCTTCAGTACCTGGCAGACCTATGTTCAAACGCTTTTACAGTGTGAACTTAGACCAAATTATTCTCTGTGCCTCAGTTTTCCTGCCTGTTAAGTGGAGTTCATGAAACTGACCTTGTTTGTTTGTGTGTGTGTATGTTTATCCCTCCCCCCCCCCTTTTTTTTTGAGACAGTTCTCTGTGTAGCCTCGGTTGTCCTGGAACTCGCTCTGTAGATCAGGCTGGTCTCAAATGCAGAGATTCTTTGCATCCCTAGTGCTGGGATTAAAGGGGTGTGTCATTACACCCAGCTGTGACCTCGTTTATTAAAAAAAAAAAAAAAAAGCCTTTAATCTCAGCACTCAGGAGGCAGAAGCAGGCAGATCTCTGTGAGTTAAAGGCCAGCCTGGTCTATGTGGTGTTTTAGGACAGCCAGGAACTAAACAGTGAGACCTTGTCTCAAAATAGAAAAGACTGTGAAACACCGTTTATCTAAGACGCATCCGGCATGTTCTCTCCAACAGTGTTAGTTCTTCATGAGGCCAAGCGTGTGGGCTTCAACTTAGCCCACCCAGTGTCTGCTCTCTCCTCTCCTCCTCCAGTTCTACCTCTGTTGCCTCAGGCTTAGATAGCGGGTTTGCTGGGTTTATGGTTCGCAAAGTACCTTCAAAGCATTTATTATTTCCTCCTGATGCTCCCAGGCTGAAATGGCCATAGGCTGTGTGGGATAGGGCAGAAGGGTGCAGTGGGGTTATCTAGCCGCATTCTGTCCTTTTCATGCCAAGAATTTACCTTTGGACACAAATCCTTTCTTCCCGGACCTTACTTTGGGGGAGGGGAAGAGAAGGGGGGTTGACCTTTAAGGATCTTTTCTGACTTAAGAATCTAAGTCTGAAAGGAGTGGTTTTCGATTGCGTTGGGAACACTGAATAGAGTTTAAACCCCAAAGACTCCTCTCTTCCCTGCACAGCAGACTGGCCGGCTCGCCCCGGCCTTCTGCAACTTGTTTAGCGGTGGCGGGGCCTCAGCCTCTTACTCCAAACGCCTCTGAACTTTCTGTTCCCAGTTCTGCTCCTTTTACCAGCTTTTTCCCCCCTCTTGCATTTTTTATTTTTATGAAAGGATGTCATTAAGGCTTTTGTCTGCGCTGTTTTTGTTTCAGAACTTTTCCCACAATCCTATTTTTTGTTGAGGAATCCGCTCCTTTGCCCAGCTGTGGGTCCGGGTCCCACAGCTGTGTTGATCTAAGACTCAGCCCCAGACAGCCTGGCGCCAGGGTGGGACGTCATGCGTTCACACAGGGATGCGTGTCCCAGGCAACCTTTCCTCGGGCAGTCACCGGCCGGCGACTGCCTCTCCCACCAATCAACGCCCGACACCCGAGATAGGGGCGGGGCCTGCGCCACCCTAGCCGGCGAGCGGCTTGTAAATCGCAGATTCTGAGACCTTGATAACGTCCCCTGAATGGGGGCCCTTTAAAGTCCCCCTTTCTCTTTTAGTTCTTTTGTTTACCCCTTTTCTTTCCACCTTCCTCCTTTCTATCTGTATGTAGATAAATTTTCTTCTTCCTTTTCGCCTCTTAACTCTCTCCTCCTAGTGTCAGGAATCATTTTGTAAGCATTTCCAGGAACTGCATCTTCCTCTGCCAAAATTATAAAAAGAAAAAAAAAATCAATGTTGTGCTCTCTGATTTTTTTTTTTTTTTTTTTGAGGAGCTGGCAGAACTGTAAGCTATTACTGTTTCGTCTTTAGAAATTTAAGACGTGGTGGCAGTGGGGTCTCTGGGCTGTGAATTTCAAAGTCAATGTCATGATGATGAGGATTGCAGATGTCTTGCTCAAACTGGGCTTCTGTCAAGCTAGCTAGCTGTCTTTTCTCCGTGTGTAGACACGGGGATCCAGGGAACCTTGTCTAAGGTTATGGTGAATGTCCGTGACTGACCTGTGGCCAAGATCCAACCCTTCTGCTCCCCGACTCCCTGACCGCTCTGGCCCTAGTTCTCATAAACGTTAAGTACTCTATGTCAGTTTAAGGTTCCCAGAAGTTGTATTTAAAAATTTCTTGTGTATGTGATGTATGTATATGTAAGTACGGTCATGGGCCACGATGTCTCCTTGCCACAACATATTTGAGGAAGTCAGAGTACAACTTTTGGGAATCCAGTTCTTTCCTTCTACTGTGGGTTCAGGGACCAAACTCAGACCGTCATTCAGGCTTGCAGGACAAGCACCTTTATCCACGGAACCATCTTGCCAGTCCATGCATTTTCTGGTGTCTACCTATTTGTTCAGAAAGTAGCCATAAAGATGTGCTGAGTGCTTTCCAGCCATACACTGAGAGACTATCTCTGCTCCCCTCAGCAAATCTGAACCCCAAAGTACAACCCCAGATCCAGAGGCTACAAGGAAGGCATATTCTAGTACTGCCTAGGCTGTCCACCTTCACTCCTCCCTTACCACCTCTATAAAATTGGGGAGAAAATAATATTTACCCACCTGACAGCTAGGAGGGCCATAGGGGACAGAGGATGGGAAGTAGTTACTTTAATGTGATATGATGTGTTGCTGGGGATCCAAGGTGTCCCTCCAAGTTAGTGCTTCCCCTAGAGGCAGTTCCCAGAAATGTGGGCAATACTAAGAAAGGCAGTATAGGGACATGGGGACCTAAGTCCTTAAAAAGGCAGAGATTTTAGGGGATTTTGAGATGGACTCTCCTACACTTCAGAAACACTCAGCTGTCACCGCCACCTTCATCATAGTTTGTTGAGTCCTGTTTGCCAAGAACTATTTACCTACCCTTTGTTGGTTTGGTTTGGTTTTTACAGTGCTGGGGATGGAACCTGGGGCCTCGTTAGTGCTAGGTGAACAGTCTACTCTCAGCCCCAACCCTGGCCCTGCATTTTCTCATTGACTTTTTGTTCTGAGATAGTCTCACCATGTAGCCTGAGCTGTCTGTCCCCAAGCTTAAAATTCTCTCACCTCAGCCTTCTGAGGACTGGGACAAATATGTTCCCCCATGCCTGGCTTCACTGACCCATTTTGTGGATGTGTAGAAAGAGGCTCAGAGAGGTGAATGTGCTTTCTACCAGGCCACATAGCTATTCTGTGGTAAACCCAAGATTTTCATCCTGTCTCCAAAGCTTCTACCCTTCCAAAGGACCTCTCGGGAATTATAGTTATTACATTTATTCATATATTTGTGTGTGTGCATGTCATGGTGAATGTGTGATGGCCAGAGGACAGTTTATAAAGGTTGCTTCTCTCCCTCCAGAATGTGACTCCAGCGGATCAAACTCAGGCCCTCAGACTTTGTGACAAGTGACTTTACTATATGAGCCATGTCACCGGCCCCTGAGAAGGTTGTGTTCCACCAGACAGAGAAAAGTAAATTGGACCTATTGGGTAGGATGACAAATAGTAAGGTGTATTCGTTTCAATGCCAGGGATAGAACTGAAGAGTCTTACAATGGTAAGCACACCCTACCACCGTTCCAGCTGTCCTTGCAGTGTGACACTTCCTCTGAAGTCACACAGTGACTACTGCTAAATTTAGGGGTCAACTTTGGATCTCACTGCCTTCTTCTCCATCTTTCAGCCACGCTTAGTCCAGCCACACCATCCTGAAGCTAACTAACCCCTTATTTCACCAAATGATCATTGACCATGGGATGTCCCAAGGCTGGCTCTGCCCCCGGGCATGCAGTAAGCCAGAGGGGAGGTATTTTCTGGGCACCTACCCTGTGTGAGATACTCTACTGAGACACTTCATTGAGGGGAATCGGTAGGGTTTTTTGGAGACAGAGTCTAACTATGTAGCCCAAGAAGACCTTGAATTTATCTGTGTCCCTTGTAAGTACTGGTACAGATAACTTTAAATCCTGTAGGCCAGAGCCTGGTGGTATATACTTATAATTTCAGCACTCAGGAAGCAGAGGCAGGAGGATCTTCACAAGTTAGTGTAGTGCAATGCCTCAGTGGATAGAGGCACCTGCTGAGCAAACCTGATGCCTGAGTTCAATCTAGAGTCTGAGCAAAGGTGGACTGAGAGAATCAGATCCACAAAGTTGTCCTCTGACCTCCACACTGGGGCTGTGGCATGCAGAACCTTAACCACATCGTATATACCCCCACACTTTAATATAAAAAGAAGTTTTGTTTGTTTTTTGAGACAAGGTTTCTCTCTGTAGCCCTGGCTCTCCTAGAACTCTTATCTGTAGAACAGACTGGCCTTGAACTCAGACATCTGCCTGCCTCTGCCTCCCAAGTGCTGGGATTAAAGGCATGTATGTGCTACCACCACCAGACCCCCCCCCATTTTTTTTTTTTTTTTTTTTTGAAACAAGGTTTCTTTGTATAGCCCTGGCTGTCCTGGAACTCACTGCGCAGACCAGGCTGGCCTTGAACTCAGAGATCTGACTGCCTCTGCCTCCCAAGTGCTGGGATTAAAGGCACGCACCACCACCACCACCGCCCAGCTGCAGCAAGAATTTTTAATACAGCATGCTTCACTAATCTTCAGGTCTTGCTCAGAGGCCATGCTAATCTTCTTTGTATTATTCCAACTTTAGTATATGTGCTGCTGAAGTGAGCATACACATACATTAAAAAAAAAAAAAAAAAACCACAACTAAGTTCAGTTCTACCCCAGCAATCATTAACAATTTTGAGATATTACCGCTTAAAGATAAGATTTATATTTGTTTTCATTTTTATGTATTTATTTATTGCTTTTTTGAGACAGAGTTTCTCTGTGAAACAGTTTTGGCTGTCTTAGAACTCACTCTGTAGACCAGGCTGGCTTCGAACTCACAGAGATCCTCCTGATTCTGCCTCTTGAGTGCTGAGATAAAAGGTGTGCACCACCACTGCCCGGCTTTGGTGTTTTCTTTTGAGTCAGGTCTTTGTACCCCTGGCTGGCCTGGAACTCATAGGTAGACCAGCCTTACCTCTAACTTGTGAAGATCCCCCTGCCTCTGTCTCCTGAGTGCTGAGAGCATAAGTATATACCACCGGGCCCTGGTCCGCAGGATTTAAACTAGAAACGCTGAGCCTGGGAGGTGGGGGTGTGGTACAGAGGTGAAGCGGCCCTAGGGTTTGATGTCTAGCACTGCAGACAACATGACAATGTGAAAGTTCAAATTCAGGTTGTCCTTTGGTCCTGTGACTCCCAGGGTGTGATTCTCTCTCTCTCTACAGCAGATAGTGGAGTTTTGGGCTTCAGGAAAGGGCCCGGAAGGATGGTGAGGTCCAGAGTCCATGCAAGGAAAGATGAAGACAAAAAAGACCTTGAAGAACAGTGTCCACCCTGCCCAGACATTGTCCTGCTTTGGCCTGGGGCCCAGCAGCAGTTCAAAAGCTGCCAGGGGAAGGCGATGGGAGGGGAGGGAGGGATGGGCCTGGCCACAGGGTTGACCCTGCCAGAGAGGAAAGGAATCTCCCACCCCTAACTGGGCCACAGTCCTGCAGAGAGCTGGAAAGGCTGGGATGCCAGAAGGCAGAGGCTGGACTGTAGCTCATAGAGAGCCTCCTGCAGGCCACACTGCCCGAGTATGAAATCGTGAGTCACCAAAGCCCACTGTGTGGCAGCGATAGCGTTTGCTGAGTGTCCACCACAAGTTTGACATTTCATTTGTTTCTTTATGTTTTATGGGACAGTGTCTAGCTATGTAGCCCAGGCTGGCCTTAAATTCTCCATCCTCCTGCCCTCCCCAGCCTTCCATATGCTCTGATTATAGGCTGTGTCCCACCAAACCTAACTGAGCAGGCATTTTACATGTATCATCACCCTAAATCCTCACATTGACTGCGGCTCAAAGAGGTGAGGTCATCTAACCAAGGTCACACAGCTAGCTGTTGGGAGCCAGAAAAGTGAGGGTTGTAAACTTAGGCTTTGGGCATGGAAATCAAAGGAAACACCTTTGAAACCCACGGAACTTTGGGGTCAGGCAGCGTGTGTGTCTTTGAATATGAGCGTGTGTTGTTCCACTCTCAGGAGTGAGAGAGACCTCCTGGGTGTTCGTTGTGTGTCTGGGCCCCAGGTGAGGATTGCATACAGTCGGATTTAAATGCAAGCTGTCTGGCTGAGGATGTAGCTCATTGGTAGAGTGCTTGTGTAGCAGACAAGAGACCCTGGGCTCTATCCCCAGCCCATAAAACCCAAACATTCCTCTCGCTCAGTCCTTCGCAGGGCTGCAGCCCCAGCCTGGGCAAACTTCTATGTGCTCAGCCCAGTATGAGTCCTTCTTCCTGCAATCTCCTGGCCAAGAGAACCATGTGGAGAGGACTCTGGTGGCTTTTTCTTCCATTTCCTCTCCATTGCCATCCTCCCTGCCCGCACCCCGCACCCTGCCTGTCCCTACACCCTATAGCTCCAACCCACCTTCATGGGAAGCCCCAGCTGGGCCTGCACCCCGCGATCAGGCTGTCCCTACCGCCCTGGCCCACCTTCCCGGGCAGCCTCAGCTCGGCCTGCACCCCGGCAGCCCCCACCCCAGCGTTGGCGCGCAGCTGCGGGACACACAATCGCCCGCGCCTCCTCCCCGCCCCCCGCGCAGCCCCTCGTTCAACAAAAGCCGCTTTCTTTTCCCACAACAGATTAAAGACCAGGAGGGGGTGAAAAATAGCTTCTCCAGCCAGTGGCGGGGGAGGGGCGCGGGAAAAGCTGGGGCTTTGGGGACGCTTTGATGGCGAATGTGTGGGAAACCCGGAGGAATGCGGCTGCTCGGACGGCCGCAGCGGGGCCAGGCGCCGCCAGCAGGGTCCGCCCCCGGGGACCCGGGACCCGCGCCCGCCCGGCCCCGCGCGCCCGAGTCTCCTGCCAGCGCTGTCTCCATCCTCCGCCCCTTTTCTCAAACTCTAACTTCTCCACCTTCCCCCTCTTCGCTCTCTCTCTCTTCTGGTTCCCGCATCTCCTCCCCTCATTTCTGGCCCCTTCCTCTCCCTCCCGAGGCCTTTTTCCGAGTCGCCCTCTTTGTCCAGGGCATTCTTTCTGGGCCTTTGTTTCCGCGCCTCTCTTTCAGTGGCGCCTTCCCAGCCTCTGCCTGTGGCTTCCTGGGATCGGGGGGTTTGATGAGTTCAGCGTTGCCTCTGTCCCCGTTTTGGGACAGGGCTGGGAAGAGGGCACAGGGGAGGTAGGTGGTTTCAACACCTCCCCACCACGTGTGAGAGCAGATGAGGGCAGAGCAGGGAGATCTAGGCCTGCCTCGGGAAAGACACTTAGGGAGACTGAGTCAGCTAAGTCGGGAGAGAAATGTAGCAGAGGGCCCTTGGAGACCGCCAAAGGGTCACAATTATTTTCGCCTCGGTTTAAGTCTCTGAAAGAAATTCCTGGCTCAGGATCGGATAGTGGTCCTGGGACTCTGGTGGGAAGTGGGTTGTCTCCCTCCTCGATCTAGTCTTTTGGACAATCTTGGGGCAGCAAGGGGACTAGCTCAAGACAAGGGCTTCCAGGCGGAAAGAACCCTTCCTAGTCAAGACCGAAGTCCCCAAGGAATCCCACCCCTGGATTCCTGCAAACACAACTCCAAGATTGCCAGCACAGAGGAGCCCTTGGCAAATCCACCCTCCTCCCTGAGCCTCAGTTTCCACACTTGTAAAATGAGAAGCTGGATCAGACCAGTGGTCCTCAGCCTTTATTTCGCCCACATATCCCAAGAGTCAATAGATAACCATGTGTTGCTTATGTTAATCTGTTTCCTCATTTCGTCTTTATGAAAGACAAGCATTGTCTGGGTTCTGATTAGAATGGTTCATTATCACTCTTAGCCGGTCTAATCAAGTACACCCCGGCTCTAGACACCCTGGACAGTAACCTGGGCAGCAAGGTCCCACAGAAGATAGACTTTGGGTCAGATAATTTTGGTTGGAAACTGGAATCTGTGAGTGCCCAGCTGTGACCTTGGGCAGGTCACTCTCTCCCTTGGATTTACTTCTTTGTAAAGAAAAGATAGTCACAACATCCACCCCGCAGGAGTGTATGAGCCTTGTAATCAGATCCAAGCATGTAAGACAATGGACACCAAAATGTAAGAAATAGGGCTCGTGAGATGGCCGAGTGGGTGAATTCCATTTTCAGGACCCACATGGTGGAAAAAGAGAACTGATTCCCAAAAGTTGTCCTCTGACCTCCACGACGGCACAGTAAACATTTCTGTCCACATATGAACAAGAAATATGAGCCACATAAGTAACGCCACACATTGTTTACTAGCTACATAGAAAACAACCTGGAGGACTGAGGGGTGTCCCTCAGGGCAGAGTACGTGTACAAGGTCCTGTGTTCCATTCTCAGCAAATCGAAGATTAAAAAGGAATTTTGGTTATCTTTTAAAAAGAAAGGGGACCTGGAAAGATGACTCAGTAGTTAAGAGCACTGACTCTTTTTCCAGAGGACCTGGGTTCAATTCCCAACACCCACATGGCAGCTCACAACTGTCTGTAACTCCAGGATCCAACACCCTGACACAGGCATACATGAAGGCAAACATCAATACAGATGAAATAAAAATAAATTAAAAAAAAAAAAGCACAACTTAGTATGGTGGCACATGCCTATAATCCCAGCATGTGGGATGCAGAGGCAGGAGGATCAGGAATTCAGGGTCATTCTTGGCTACTGGTGTTCAAGGTCAGCCTGGGTTACATGTGACTGTTTCAAGAAAACAAAAAAATAAATGAATAGGTAAACGAATAAACAATTTCAGAAAGACAGTGGAATTGGTTTCAATAATATAATCATCTGACCTTATTATCCCAAAACGTAATTGGTATTTTAAAAAATCTATTCTTTTTACACTATTTTTCACAGGAAGTCATTAAGACGTGGTAAATACTTTACAGTTCAGCCTGTCTCAGTTTGGGTCAACCACATTTCAGGGGCTGAATGGCCACCTAAGACTATGGCTACTGATTGGACAGTGCTGACATAAAGTCTGAGTGGGCATTAAAAGTCACGGAGCCTTGAGGCTGCCTGGCATTTTGACACAAAAAGAGAAGGAAGGTGGGCACAGAATGCTGTGAGGGAAAGTTCATCGGAGAGAACGGACAGAGGTCAAGGGGAGGAACAGACTAGCCGTGATCAGGTAAGTAGATGGAGGTGGGGTATCTGGAGAACTTTGGGATCCCCGCTAAGGGGCGTGCAAACAGATAAAGAGAAGGGGTCCCAGCAGGTCAGAGTGAATGTCTGGATGAGCTCCACTTTGTTGGACCGGGGTGTAGCTCAGTGGTAGAGTGCTTGCCTAGAGTGTATAAGACCTTAGATTCAATCTTCAACCGTGGAGAAAAGAAACCCAGAGAGTGAGGTAGAGGAGAGGTGAAGAGGGGAGAGGAAGGAGAGAGGAGGGGAGGGGAGGAGAGAAGAGAGGAGGGGAGGGGAGGGAAGGGGAGGGGAGAGGAAGGGAGAAGAGAGGAGGGGAGGGGAGGGAAGGAAAGGAGAGGAGAAGAAAGGGAGGAAAGGGGATGGGAGAGGAGGGAAGGAAAGGAGAGGAGAAGAAAGGGAGGAAAGGGGATGGGAGAGGGAAGGGGAGGGGAGGGGAGAGCTGCTTTGTTCAGGGAAGAAAGCAATAGTATTCTGGGTACTCTGTCTAATTCTGTG